TGCGGTAAAATCTTCTGCTTATAACACAAGTTATGTTGCATGGTATTCTAAGGTAACTGAATTGAAACTAGTCTATGATTCTGACTGATAATTTTCCTATAGATATTGATTGTTTACGATTCAAGAATCATTTGCTATGCCTGGATACTACTTAACGACAATTGACCGATCTGGGATCGACAAAAAGAACATATGTCCTAAATGTGACGAGCTCCTCAAAGAAGCAGTACAGACCATAGCCTGCGGCCACAGATATTGTAAAGCATGTGTGGAAGACATACTAAGGTAGGTTAAGTGAAATTGGCCGAACTAAGTTTTTATTTTACATGAAATAATTGCGATAACTGGATACTACTTCTAGATTACGTTGATAGTCATGCCAACCATATGTAAGTAAAACAGACTGAAAGAGATTTATGGCAGTCAGTGTATTGAGTACAAGGTCACCAGAAGTTTAAATAAATAATTTATTTTAAGTCTGTGGTTTATGACAAGCATGTACGAGAGTCAATCATGCAGTTAGAAGCTTTCAGTTTTGTTTGTTTGTTTGTTTGTTTTAGCAGTATTATCTCAGCTCAGTATGTATCTTAATACTTTCAAGTCTAGATGCATGCTGAAACTCTTGCCTGCATCTGTTTCCTACCAGGAAAAGTTATATTATCCAATATTTTTTTTAAGGAAAGTGGTTCAAGCTACATTTCTATGAATTTGTGTAAGCCCTGTTTTGTATTCTCTTGAATCTTCAGTCAGGTACCAGGAAAATGTGTCATAGATGGAACACTCATTGAGCGAGAACAGGTCAGTTGCCCTTATAAGTCCCGAAAATCTTTAGAATTTAACTTGTCCTACCAAATCAGTCATAAGGTATCAAATTATTAGCCATTACTTAGCTGACCTGTGCTAGGCTCTCAGAACAAACGGCGGAAAGCGACTTCATGAAACGAGACGATCGCCTGCTTCTCCATTGAACGAGACCGAAGCACAAACTGCCAGTAGCCTTACAAGAGCGATTTGGAAAATCACGTATCCATTTTTAAGAAAATAATAAGTACTCAAACATTATGAACTGAGGCACCAGAGAAAGAGCGCTCAAATTACTCGCGTGAACGAGGCCTTGAGGCAGATCGGATCGATACTGCACGCTTATTTCATATTTTTGACTTTTTTGTGATTGATACTGTCTTCAATATCTTTTTCTTGTCTGTTTCTGCATCCTAGGTTTTCCAAGACCGATTTGTTGAGCGAGAAATTCAGTCATTAACGCTACACTGCGTCAACAACGAGCACGGTTGTAAATGGAAGGATGAACTGAGAAAACGAGAGGTAGACCTTATTACACTGTTGGTTATTTTCATCTGAGTCTCTCAAGGAATACTTGATCACCCTCTTGACTTTCTCGTCTGCGTTTTCCCGCACTGCAGGTGGTTCGCTTGTTTTCAGTTGGTGTTCTTATTGGCTCTTTGTGGTATCCTCCTTTGTCCTGATTGGTCAATGTGATTACTTTGATATTGCAAAACTCAGTCGAAATGTACTCTATTACTGACTAAGATGCGATTACTTCGAATTCTAATATACATTTTTCCTCTGCAACCCCTATTGTCAGGTATCAATGCTGACAAAGCCTCGTGAGCTTCGATGTCGATGACTATGAAATCTACTGCTTATCGTTTTAACCGTAATTGTTAATTTGGCTCCCTTTCTACAGGCCCATGAAGCTGTTTGTGAGTATGTGAAAGTACCTTGTGTTCACTCGGATTGCGGCGAACTGGTCACTAGAGCCCAATTAGCAGACCATCTGAAACAGAGGTGCCAGTATAGGTTGGACACATGTGAGTACTGCCACACGCAAGTCATTTTTGCAGCTATAAAGGTATGTACAGTGATATCTAAATAATTAAACAACCTACCAATGTGCTCAACTCCAACGGACACTTCTCGATAAAGATATCCTCAGCTAGTGCGTCGATACGACAAATCGCCCTGATATTTAAGCTGTCATTGTAACGTCTCTGAAAATGCACTGTCATTTGAAAGTATTTCCCCTGACTGAAAAGAACCAAGCTAAAGTTCACCTGACAACAAAAACGACGATAATTATAATTTTAAACATTAGTGTTACACCTTGGTCTGTGTCTCGCACGAATTATTTTCGTTTCCCTCTGAATAACTGGACATCTTGATGAGTGGCTGAGACCTGTGCCAGTCGAAACTCTCTAAGCGAACAATTTCGTAAGCTGGAAGCCCTCCTTACCATCTCCGACAAGATTTGCGTCAAAAGTTTAAAGGTTCGAAGTGCTCAAATTAAACAACGATCTTCTTTCCAAGCTCTCACAAGTTTCGACGCGGCTGAACATCATGACAGAAGCATGAGGTGGTACGTAATACGTGTGCCGCTTTCGTAATTTTGTGTACTGGATTCTTTCTACTATTTTCACGATAGGAACATCATGAAACCCAGTGCCCTGCGGTGCTAATCAAGTGCGCAAAGTGCAACAGGAAGAACATTCCTCGTGGGCAGGTAAGCTCAGATATACTTTCTTCATTGGTTTATAAGAAAGGTAAGTCCCATGAACTACGATCTGTGATTTTAGATGAGGAAAATCAACAAGCACAGTGCTTTGATCAGATATGGTGCAATTACTACTTAATATTGAAAAATTTGTATATTCTTTCTAGATCAATGCGCTTGTCTGCCATCTCAATACGCGTAACCAATCCAAAAGTAAATTGTGTTGAGTGATTATTTAGTATACACCACACAGAAACAAGTAGCTTGTTTATTTCTGACAGGACGAGTTGTGGCGATTTCAAATGAGACTACTGCAATCGTAACCAATCGTACTGTCCTACTGGGCAACAAAGTATGCATGAGTTGGTAACTTACCAGATACTGTTAACTGCGTGCCATTGTTAGCCCTGTTGTGTCATCATTAATAATCATCTGTATTTAAGCCGGGAGTTCCAGATGATACGACGTCATGATTACCCGTGATACGCATACTTGCGCGCTCATTTTGGCAAGTTAAAGTGTGCAGATTATTTACTCTGGAAGTATTTATACGGACGGGCCAAAACACTGCTGGGTTATATTGGCGTCTGTTGAACAGGATCATGATGTTTAGCACATAACAGTAGCTTTTACGCTAGTAATGAATTAACTTTGGCTTGTCTCGACATTTTGAATCCATTTCCAGATGGCTTCTCATACTGACCCAATGGACGGAGACTGTGAAGAGATAACAGCTCCTTGTCCTTGGTCGCAAATCGGATTTCCTGAATCTAAGGTTCGTGTTGGGAATAAACGTTTAAATTTTCATCCATTTAAAGAAGTTTTTGAGATTTCGAACTCCGTTAATGAATAATATTGAACGGTGGCTTCTGTATGAAATGTGTATTCTCCGCACAACATCAGATTTTTCTTAGCTTGAAATTATTTGATTGTTGTACAGAGCAACCCTAAGAGGTTGAATTGATTGATTGATAATTGTGTCGTTGAAATATTTTTCTCTGCTGATTTTCACGAAAGATTTGCACCCTTTTGCCTTTCAGGCCATGAAGCTGCAAGATAGAAAGGCCCATGACGAGAAAGATGTTGCTGGGCATATGACGCTCCTCTTTCAAACAGTCATGCAACTTCTCTCTTTGGTAGGGAGTAACTTTCTTGAACCAAATTGCGTCAATACTAAAGATGTAAACATGCCATCTTGGAAAGAATTGGAGAGATTTGCTGAACAGATAGAGCGCGCGTTAAAAGAGAATGAAGAATTAAAATCCAAGTTGTTTCAACAAGAAAAACGCATACACCAGTTAGAAAGTGGTGGTGCTTGGCGGAACGAACCTATTCCGAATTCATCTGCAACAGATCAAAAATCAACGATGGAGCTCTCACGGAGAATTCATAATGAAGAAGGTAAAACAGCTGACCTAGAAGTTCTCATCATCGAAGGGAACAGACAGAATGAAGATCTTCAACGGCAGGTTGCCACTTTAGCCAGAGCACTGGAAGCTGCCAAAGAGACGATTAACAGGTTACAGAGGCAGTTTGAGTCTATGAGTCGCTCCCTAGCTTTGCACAATGTCACCCTGAGCGATTTAGAGGAATACGTGACACAAAAAGAAGTATCCAGCCACGACGGAGTCTTACTGTGGAAAATTTCCGACTTCGCCAGGAGACGACGAGATGCACAGTCAGGAGGTCAAGTGTCATTTTACAGCCCGTGTTTCTTCACAAGTCGTTATGGTTATAAGATGTGTGGACGTATCTATTTAAATGGTGACGGCATCGGCAAAGGAACCCACATCTCAATCTTCTGCGTGGTGATGCGCGGTAAGTATGACGCGATGCTCCGCTGCCCATTCAGACAGAAGTTTACATTCATGTTATTGGATCAAGATAATGTGGAACACGTGGTTGACGCATTCCGACCAGAACCTAACAGCTCCTCTTTCCAGAGGCCAAGAAGGGAAACGAACATAGCAAGTGGATGTCCTACCTTCTGCCCCCTGTCGGAGTTAAACAACCACGCTTACGTCCGGGATGACACCATGTTCATAAAAATTATAGTGGACACCACAGATTTGTAAACCGGCCAGAAAACTTTCCAAAGTGGTAATTTGGTGAAAACTTCTCGTAGTGTCTGAACGTTTTCTGCCCCAAAGTCTGGTGTCGTTGACTTCTGGAAGCTAAAAAGCTAGCTCAATATTCTCGAGTGAACTAAACGACCCCTTCTAATGACGACTTTAGCCCTTAGAATGAATATGAATTTTAAATGAATGATCTATATTTAGAAGGCGGACATCGATGGGAAGTTTAGCAATAATAACTTACAAGATATTATAAACTATTTATAACCTTTTGCAACTTACTGTGACATTTATATTTACATGTAAGTGGTAGTGGTGGTTAACTACGATAAGTTTTGATTGGTGCTTTTTTTTTTGGATCTGCCTGGCAATATTCACCTCCTTAAGTAAACTTTGCATGCATTTAACGGAACTTAGGAAATTTGATTTTTAATTCGAATTATTGTCCTCAAACATTATTTATTCAGGTTTAACAAATTACTTCTTTAGCCAACTTAATTAATTCGAGGGTTTTCCCCCGGGTTCTCCGGTTTCCCTCAGCATCACAATATGTTGTTGGTCGACTAGATTCTTTTAGTGAATGCGTTAAATAAATTACTTAAAAGCGTCAAGACTTTAGCTACTTCCATAAACACCGACTATTTAACAGATGACCGTGTGTGTCAGCTTCATTTAAGATCTTAACTTAGAAGAGAGTGTGATTGTTACTTAGTTGTAAGGGTAGCTTGAATGAGTAGCTATTCACACAGGCTCTTTCGGGTCTCTCTCCTTCCCTCTGCCCCAAAGAGGGTATAAGAGCACATAAGCCGAGAGACAGACGTAGCTGTTGCAACTTCAGCAAAAAAAAAACAAATGAATTTGGTATTTTCAATTGGGTTGATATCGTAATTTGGCCATCTTTAAGAGTTTCAAAGCTGACGTTTCGAGCGTTAGCCCTTTGCCAGAGCAAAACACGATCTTGAGCTGATGGTTAGGGTGTAGTAATTCTTATGATACAAGAAAACGGACCCTGGGCTTGTAAGAAACTGACAGTGGCAATATTGGAAAGGGACATTTTTAAACGCCTATATCTCATCAAGCTTATTACCTTTCGTTAAGGAAAAAGAAAAATACACAATCACTAACTTTTAAACTCCTGATATTGCCTCTCTAGTGAGGCTGATTGTTTCACTGTACTTCGGTTATTAGCTTGTTGTGTACACTAAAACAGTGGCTAGCGTTTAAAGGCGCGCTCGGATTGGCCACTTAAACGCAGAATATCCTTTGCCACTCACCTCCAAAGACTCGCACGGGATTTGCGCCCGAGAATACAGTAATCGTCGTAGGAATAAATGAGTTGGAATTACCTCTTTATGCTATATTATCTAATTGTTTTAGTATAATGTATACTCAAACAACCATCCAACTCAGTGTTGTTGGCTAGTGGCGGAAATTTCTTCACCGCTTCGCGCGCAGCTCTGTAAATATACACCACTAGTCGCCCCCTCGTAGCGGGAGGAGTTGTTCCTGAATACTCCGCATCGCCTTATATGGGAAATGACTCAACCAAGTGTTACTAAGCTGAATTTACATTTAGCTGGAAGCAAACACCTCTTCCGTGCATTGGAAACAGAATTAAACTAATAGCAGTCATAGTCATCTCAAGGGTAAAAGCCACAAAGAACGACATAACCCTATTGAGTGGTATACATCTTTGAATTTTCATCTAGAAAGTTCAGTTTGAACTTTTTATTCACGCTTTATGGTCTAGAAAAAGTATAATGCTGCAACAAATGTAGGACCAGCCGGGTACCTTTATATTTCAGGATATCATTTGTTGAAATTTTTACCAGACCTTAAGTTACAAAAGCTCACCTTTGAAGTCGGTTCGCTACCGTACTAAAAACATTTTTAAATGTGCACAACGCTTCAAGATATGCTTCATGTTTTATAAGTTTATCGAAATACTTGTGTCAGTAAGTTTGTATAACTTGCGGTCGTAACTCGCCCACACGGAGCACTCTATTACTTACATTGCGAGGTTTTAGTTAAACAAACCACTTGAACAAAGTGTGCACAACTTTTTCGTTTTCCGATGAAATGCTTGTATCTCGTAACCTGGAACGTTTCCTGGTTCAGAAATTTCTGTATTTCGTGTAAACATTCAGGTCCAGCGTTAGCTGGGTAACGCCGTATAAAATTTCATTCAGCGTCATTCGTAAAGCGAGGCACATTGTCATGTGACTGAAGTTTAGCCGTTTGGGCGGTCGGAAGTAAAATTGACTTCCAGTCGGTTTAATTTGAAAAAATGGGGAGTGAAAACAAGTTAAGTAAGCTCCCACGGCATTGAAAAACATTTAAACTTAATAAAACAATTATTCAATTCGCACTTGTTGGATATGAGGTTGGTTGATGTAGCTAATTCGGGTGCTATACGCCTCGTTACCATCTCCTGTCTAACGCGCAGTCATGAAATAACTGTTAGATAAACGACCTGGCAGTCCTAAGGCTCTTGGTCTTGGTGGAATTGGAAAGTCCTTCCTAAAAGACAACTATGTCACGTTTTCCCATGTCGCGCACCCTTGTAAAGACGGAAGGTCACTTAAACACATGATTCTCACTGCTGGACGACTGATTGTGCTGTAAACTTAAGAAAAGTTTTAAGATGCAAAAGTTCTTGGTGTGGGAACTGCTCTAGCTCTTCTAGTTTAATCGTTTCTGGTTAATACTTTGATATACCAAATAAATTATATCGTGCAAGTCACCGATTGCTTCAAACAATAAACTTTAATGACGCCGGACGACTCGTTATTGAATTGAGGGGATTTCCCTTATTCAGAGAGCTGCTACATGAACTGAGGCAACGTTTTCGTACATGATGTTTCAGCTGCACTAGAGAAATATTTCTATTAAAAGAAAGTGTACAAAACTGGTAGGTACAAAACTGGTTCAACAGGGTTTTTCACTAGTTCATTATTATATTAAATACCCGGTTTTAAAGTGCCTATGACACGAAGTTTTGCATTTTTTGGCTGATAGCTGTATTAAAAATTAGAAATAACCGATTTCAGCGCCTAGCGAGTTCTCCTTGACCAATTTTTTGTGCATTAAAAGTACAATTCGGCGGCCAAAAAGTGTCCCCATTAAGCGCGCGGCCAAAACGATCATGTCACATCGTTGTGGCAACGTTGTGGCTGCAATAGTGGAGAAAGGAGAAATCTAGAAGGGAGGACGAACGTTTTGCATGGCCGAAGAGCCAAATGATGTCAGCTACAAGAATAACAAACACATACAGCGTATTTCTATACAAAAAACTTCAAAGGATGTAGCTGTATGGCCAAATGGACGCGTTTCGATCCTCGACGTAAAGGACAGTTTACTCTTAAATGTCGTCAGCCGGCTTTAAATGCGGTTGTTACGAACACATACCACTAAAGAAATCAGGGGAAGATAACCAAAGAATTGAGCTTAAAAGAATGCTGATTAAGGAGCCTGTTCCTTCACCGTAGAAGATTGTTCAACTTTATTTTCGGCTGACATGTCGCAAGCGAAGAATGGTGAGCTCCTTATTGTTCAGGTTTATTTCTCCCGCTTGAGATATACTCATACTCCTTGTCTTTCCTCGTGACTACATTTGCGCTTTTCTTATCGTATGAAAATCCTACTAGTTGTAGTTTCCATTGTATTTTTTTACTAGAAGTACGTAATTTGTGATAAAGTTCAAGCCCTTTCCTGAACTGACCGATATCCTGTTGCGTGAACAATGCGAAACCTCTAGCTGATGCTGGCATAAACACAAGCTCGAAGGGGCCGCCATGTATTCTTCTAACTTAAGTTTTCGAAAATACATCCCACAAGCCATCAATTCTCCCCTAAAAGTAGGAACAGTAGCAATATCAATGTGATAACAGCACTGCAACGAGAAAAATAAAGAAAAAAAATTATTGAATTAGATAGTAGCGAATCCAAGCGCTGTGTGAAAGTCGATGCATACCAAATGTTAATTTACAATACTGATGTCAGTTATTAGCTATTTAGCAAAATGGGTCATATGGCAATGCTGCTCTTAAAATAAAGAATTTTCTTCATTAAAATCTCTATGTGAGGTTAACTTGAATCATGCAGATAAACTCACTCGTTTTCCGTTTGACCGGCTCGACGGCGACAGCCTCGGTCTTTGCAATCTTTGAGGAAAGGAGCAACTTGCAGTAAAATCAATAAAACTTACTCACGGACACAGTTTTTTTGAGGTTTTTGAAATCTTTTATTTTATCGGAATCGGTTTGTCATTATGATAAGCTAAATATTTGCGCAAAAAAAAATTTCTTGTCATAGTCACTTTAAAGCTATGACTAATCTGTGATACTCACAAGGGGGCCTCGCCTTCGCCTTTAATGGTACAGACTAAGAGCTCATTTAAGCTCGATTCTGCATGCGTGGGAGGGTATTTGAAACCATCACTAGTACAGAATAGCATTCTACTTATCCGTTGCACGGTGAGTATACAATTATACATATCTTTTGCCTTAGTTGTAATTATCAAACCTGTCGCGTATCGAGTTAATGATCCGTGTTGGTGTCGTGACATCAGGAACATCACAGTATTAGCTAGCCTCTCTTTTATGTGAATGTAGCTCAAATAAGATCCATTACGTAGACGAAAACCTTGTCCGGCCTCGACCTCTTTGATCAAACCAAGAGAAAATCTCTTCGAATAGTAATGACCCATTTTTTCACTCCTTCACGAGTGAACTCCAGTTACTCCGCAAACCATAAATACGATAGGATTAAATCGATTCTTTTGCGAACCCTCACCTTCCCTTTAACGGTATTTTTACGATTGTAAAAGAAGTCGACAGTAGACAACATCAGTAGAGCGAAGCTGAAAAATGGAATCAACTTTTCAATGTTCGATTTGTATTACCGACTGCAAACGGTGTGGGCATAAGCGGTCGCGTGACTGTTAAAGTTATGTCACTAAAGTAAGGGGAATCAGGAGAATTATCAGACCGAAGTATTCACGAATCACTGATTCGTATTTGAAACCCGGTGGGGTTTTTCCCATCGATGTTCGAACTCGAGAACTTAGATATTCAAAGGGACGCCATTGAAGGATAATTGGGCTAAAAAAAAAAAATCTCACTAGAAAATTTTATTGTCATTTTGGTTGGTTTAAATCAAGCAAAGGTGAGACAAAACTTGGAAATCGAGGAGTTCTTCGACTCAGTCACATGCACTATGATTCATCAATTAAAATTGCTAAAAATACCGCCTTTCATCATTGCATAGAAATTTGTCACGTCATGTCGTCCCGCGTCACGCACTAGCAGTTCACTCGCCAACTTCTAAGATGGCCGTTGTAGTGAAGGTTATAGGCATCTGTAAAAATCGGAGAGAGTCACCACTATGTTCCCCGACTACTTGGTGCAGGGTAGGGAAAAACTTAGATACCAAGCAATATGATAACTTGGAAAGGTGCAGCAGATCTGGAAGCAGAACAATTAATCGCCTACGGTTGTTAGATTTGACACTAGTTTGTTCTATTGGCTAAATGATGAAAAATATTGTGGGCGATTCATATTTTACTGTGAGTCATCCCTGAGATTCATCATTTGCGCAGTGTCAGCCCCTTTACGCACAAGTGTAAGGACAGAAATCAAGTGCAACTACATGTAAGTGAAATACAGTGGAAGCCATATTTTCTAGACTCTCGCAGTAATCTGCGATTACTTCACCGTCGAAATTTATAACTCAACGTATTTCGAGTGAAACTTTATTCGTAACAACCATACAGCTGAAGTTACGGTATATCGATGGCTAATGCTTATATGTCTCAATTTGTGTGTTCGAAAGTGAAAATCAGTTGTTGCATACACGTGTAAGTTTTTGTTTGTAATCTGCCGTCACGATAAGTTGATAAGTTGCAGAACGGTCAAGAGAAGAAGTTTGAAAAGTTTGAGATCTATCTAGTTGACTCTGAGAACTTAACTGCGAGTTACATGATGATAGCGTTCAACAAGGTTTGGGGATTCCTTGAACTTCGAACTACCGCTGCGTCCGCATTCAAAATGGTCTCGAAGATAAATCGGAACCGATGAAGTGTTCGGGACAGATTTGCACTCTTACTAAGTTAAACGAACGTCTATCGCAAGAATATTATGAAAAAACGAGGCCATCGAAAAACTTTTCTTCACCCCGTAAATAACAAGTGGAGAGAATTTCGGTCAAACGAATAGGCAAAGAACATCAGGGTTTTTTTCTCAAGTTTTTGCTTTGATTGTGTAAATCGCATATAACTTAAGCGAAGCTTGTAATTATAATTGTTCACATTTGTTGTTACTCAAATTAATTCACCCTGCTGTATGAGGTTAAAAGTGGAACCATTCACAAAAAATCTTTTGAATTAGCCATTTGAATGAAATTCTTTAAATTTTTCCCAAAGTGCACTTTCTGCCCAATGATGTGCATTGTGTCGGAAGGTAAAAATATTTTTCTCTCGACATTTCATACGAGATAACGGTTATCTTCTTACTAAAAATATGAAAATTATGTGTGGTTGCGGCCTCGCCTCACGGAAAACCTTTTTTTTTTTGTAAGACTTGCGTGTTTTTCGATAAGTATGTCATGCTTAGAATTTTCATTGCTCTGCACATACCTCAGTTCAACCAACACGGAACGAGTCACCAAAACCTGCTTTACTGTGTAATAATACTTGCGGTAAAATCTTCTGCTTATAACACAAGTTATGTTGCATGGTATTCTAAGGTAACTGAATTGAAACTAGTCTATGATTCTGACTGATAATTTTCCTATAGATATTGATTGTTTACGATTCAAGAATCATTTGCTATGCCTGGATACTACTTAACGACAATTGACCGATCTGGGATCGACAAAAAGAACATATGTCCTAAATGTGATGAGCTTCTCAAAGAAGCAGTACAGACCATAGCCTGCGGCCACAGATATTGTAAAGCATGTGTTGAAGACATACTAAGGTAGGTTAGGTGAATTTGGCCGAACTAAGTTTTTATTTTACAAGAAATAATTGCGATTACTGGATACTACTTCTAGATTACGTTGATAGTCATGCCAACCATATGTAAGTAAAACAGACTGAAAGAGATTTATGGCAGTCAGTGTATTGAGTACAAGGTCACCAGAAGTCATTAACTAATAAATAATTTATTTTAAGTCTGTGGTTTATGACAAGCATGTACGAGAGTCAATCATGCAGTTAGAAGCTTTCAGTTTTGTTTGTTTGTTTGTTTTAGCAGTATTATCTCAGCTCAGTATGTATCTTAATACTTTCAAGTCTAGATGCATGCTGAAACTCTTTCCTGCATCTATTTCCTACCAGGACAGAGTTATATTATCCAATATTTTTTTTAAGGAAAGTGGTTCAAGCTACATTTCTATGAATTTGTGTAAGCCCTGTTTTGTATTCTCTTGAATCTTCAGTCAGGTACCAGGAAAATGTGTCATAGATGGAACACTCATTGAGCGAGAACAGGTCAGTTGCCCTTATAAATCCCGAAAATCTTTAGAATTTTAACTTGTCCTACCAAATCAGTAATGGGGTATCAAATTATTAGCCATTAATTAGCTGACCTGTGCCAGGCTCTCAGAGCAAACGGCGGAAAACGATTTCATGAAACGAGACGATCGCCTGCTTCTCCATTTAACGAGACCGAATCACAAACTGCCAATAGCTTTACAAGAACGATTTGGAAAATCACATGTCCATTTTTAAGAAAATAATAAGTACTGAAACATTATGAACTAAGGCACCAGAGAAAGAGCGCTCAAATTACCTGCGTGAACGAGGCCTTGAGGCAGATCGGATCGATGCTGCTCGCTTATTTCTTATTTTTCAAATTTTTGTGATTGATACTGTGTCTTCAATATCTTTTTCTTGTGTTTCTGCATCCTAGGTTTTCCAAGACCGATTTGTTGAGCGAGAAATCCAGTCATTGACGCTACACTGCGTCAACCATGAGCACGGTTGTAAATGGAAGGATGAACTGAGAAAACGAGAGGTAGACCTTATTACACTGTTGGTTATTTTCATCTGAGTCTCTCAAGGAATACTTGATCACCCTCTTGACTTTCTCGTCTGCGTTTTCCCGCACTGCAGGTGGTTCGCTTGTTTTCAGTTGGTGTTCTTATTGGCTGATTACTTTGATATTGCGAAACGCAGTCGAAATGAGCTCTATTACTGACCAAGATGCGATTACTTCTAATATAAATTTTTCCTCTGCAACCCTTATTGTCAGGTATCAATGCTGACAAAACCTCGTGAGCTTCGAAGTCGATGACTATGAAATCTACTGCTTATCGTTTTAACGTAATTGTTAATTTGGCTCCCTTTCTACAGGCCCATGAAGCTATTTGTGAGTATTTGAAAGTACCTTGTGTTCACTCCGACTGTGGCGAACTGGTGACTAGAGCCCAATTAGCAGACCATCTGGAACAGAGGTGCCAGTATAGGTTGGACACATGTGAGTACTGCCACACTCAAGTCATTTTTGCAGTTATAAAGGTATGTACAGGGATAACTAAATAATTAAACAACCTACCAACGTGCACAACTCCAACGGACATTTCTCGATAAAGATATCCTTAGTTAGTGCGTCAATACGACGAATCGCTCTGATATTTAAGCAGTCACTGTAACGTCTCTGAAAATGCACTGTCATTTAAAAGTATTTCCCCTGACTGAAAAGGACCAAGCTAAAGTTCACCTGACAACAAAAACGACGATAATCACCTTTTTTCTGTCTCGCATGAATTATTTTCGTTTCCCTTTGAATAACTAAACATCTCGATGTTCAAAATACTTGAATAGTGGCTGAGACCTGCGCCAATCGAAAATCTCTGCGCGAACAATTTCGTAAGCTGGAAGCCCTCCTTACCATCTCCGACAAGATTTGTGTCAAAAGTTTAAAGGCTCGAGGTGCTCAAATTAAACAATGATCTTCTTTCCAAGCTTTCACAAGTTTCGATGTGGCTGAACATCATAACAGAAGCATAAGGTGGTACGTAATACGTGTGCTGCTTTCGTAATTTTGTCCAATGGATTCTTTCTACTATTCTCACGACAGGAACATCATGAAACCCAGTGCCCTGCGGTGCTAATCGAATGCGCAAAGTGTAATAGGAAGGACATTCCTCGTGGACAGGTGAGCTCAGATACACTTTCTTTATTGGTTTATAAGAAAAGCAAGTCTCTTGAATTACCATCGATTATTTTAGGTGAGGAAAATCAGCAAGTAAAGTACTTTGACCTACTATGGTGCAATTACTTCTTAGTATCGAAATATTTGTAAATTCTTCTAGATCAATACGCTTGTCTGCCAATTCAATACGCGTAACCAACCCAAAAGTAAATTGTGATGAATGATTATTTAGTATACACCACACAGAAGCAAGTAGCTTGTTTATTTCTATCAATATACCGAATAATGGTCTGTAATTAAACTTATACTGATGCGCGTGGAGTTGAATGGTACAAGCTAAACCTGCTTGTCACTTCCGATTTAGCCAATCAGCGTGCGCGAAAATGGCTATTCTTCTTTGTGGTATGTACTAATCTCGATTTTTCCTATCTAACCTACTGTACGAGTTGTGGCGATTTCAAATGAGACTACTGCAATCGTAACCAATCGTACTGTCCTACTGGGCAACAAAGTATGCATGAGTTGGTAACTTACCAGATACTGTTAACTGCGTGCCATTGTTAGCCCTGTTGTGTCGTCATTAATAATCATCTGTATTTAAGCCGGGAGTTCCAGATGATACGACGTCATGATTACCCGTGATACGCATACCTGCGAGCTCATTTTGGCAAGTTAAAGTGTACAGATTATTTATTCTGGAAGTGTTTATACGGACGGGCCAAAACACTGCTGGGTTATATTGGCGTCTGTTGAACAGGATCATGATGTTTAGCGCATGACAGTAGCTTTTACGCTAGTACTAAAGTAACTGTAGCTTGTCTCGACTTTTTGACTCCATTTTTAGATGGCTTCTCATATTGACCCAATGAACGGAGACTGTGAAGAGATAACAGCTTCTTGTCCTTGGTCGCAAATCGGATGTCCTGAATCTAAGGTTCGTGTTGGGAATAAACAATATAAAAAGTGTGAACGGTTTAAATTTTCATCCATTTTTAAGAATTTGTTGAGATTTCGAACTCCGTTAATGATTAATATTGAACGGTGGTCTTCTGTGTGAAATGTGTATTCTCTGCATTACATTAGATTTTTCTTAGCTTGACATTATTGTTTTTAGAGAGCAACCTCCAGAGAGTGAATTTATTGATTGATAATTGTGTCATTGAAATGTCTTACTCTGCCGATTTTCACGAAAGATTACCACCCTCTTGCCTTTCAGACCATGAAGCTGCAAGATAGAAAGGCTCATGACGAGAAAAATGTTGCTGGGCATATGTCGCTCCTCTTTCAAACAGTCATGCAACTTCTCTCTCTGGTTGGGAGTAACCTTCGTGAACCAAATCGCGTCAATACTAAAGATGTAAACATTCCATCCCAGAAAGAATTGGAGAGATTTTCTGAACAGATAGAGCACGCGTTAAAAGAGAATGAAGAATTAAAATCCAAGTTGTTGCGGCAAGAACAACGCATACACCAGTTAGAAAGTGGTGGTGCTGGGCGAAACGAACCTATTCCGAATTCATCTGCAACAGATCAAGAATCAACGATGGAGCTCTCACGGAGAATTCATAATGAAGAAGCTAAAACAGCTGACCTTGAAGTTCTCATCATCGAAGGGAACAGACAGAATGAAGATCTTCAACGGCAGGTTGCCACTTTAGCCAGAGCACTGGAAGCTGCCAAAGAGACGATTAACAGGTTACAAAGGCAGTTAGAGTCTATGAGTCACTCCCTAGCTTTGCGCAATGTCACTCTGAGCGATTTAGAGGAATACGTGACACAACAAGAAGTATCCAGCCACGACGGAGTCTTACTGTGGAAAATTTCCGACTTCGCCAGGAGACGACGAGATGCACAGTCAGGAGGTCAAGTGTCATTTTACAGCCCGTGTTTCTTCACAAGTCGTTATGGATATAAGATGTGCGGGCGTATCTATTTAAATGGTGACGGCATCGGCAAAGGAACCCACATCTCAATCTTCTTTGTGGTGATGCGCGGTCAGTATGACGCGATGCTCCGCTGGCCATTCAGACAGAAGGTTACCTTCATGTTATTGGATCAAGATAATGTGGAACACGTAGTTGACGCATTCCGTCCAGATCCTAACAGCTCCTCTTTCCAGAGGCCAAGAAGGGAAACGAACATAGCAAGTGGATGTCCTACCTTCTGCCCCCTGTCGGAGTTAAACAACCACGCTTACGTCCGGGATGACACCATGTTCATAAAAATTATAGTGGACACCACAGATTTGTAAACCGACCAAAAAACTTTCCAAAGTGGTAATTTGGTGAAAACTTCTCGTAGTGTCTTAACGTTTTCTGCCCCAAAGTCTGGTGTCGTTGACTTCTGGAAGCTAAAAAGCTAGCTTAATATTCTTGAGCAAACTAAACGACCCCTTTTAATGACGACTTTAGCCCTTAGAATGAATATTAATTTTAAATGAATGATTTATATTTAGAGGGCGGACATCGATGGGAAGTTTTGCAATAACAATTTACTTTAGCCTTTATATTTTTGTGACAGTGGAAGGTCGATATCTAGAACTGAGGCGGATATCGATGCGACGTTTAGGAATAATAACTTACAAGATACTATAAACTATTTGTTATCTTTTGCAACTTACTGTGACATTTATATTTACATGTAAGTGGTGGTGGTGGTTAACTACGATAAGTTTTGTTTGGGGTTTTTTTTTTGGACCTGCCTGGCAATATTCACCACCTGAAATTAACTTTGCATGTATTTAACGGAGCTTAGGAAATTTTATATTTAATTCGAATTATTGTCTTCAAACATTATTTATTTAGGTTTAACAAATTACTTCTTTAGCCAACTAAATTAATTCGAGGGTTTTCCCCCGGGTTCTCCGGTTTCCCTCAGCATCATAATATGTTGTTGGTCGACCAGATTCTCTTTGTGAATGCGTTAAGTAAATTGTTTAAAAACGTCAAGACTTTAGCTACTTCCTTAAACGCCGACTATTTAACAGGTGACCGTGTGTGTCAGCTTCATTTAAGATCTTAACTTAGAAGTGAGTGTTATTGTTACTTAGTTGTAAGGGTAGCTTGAATGAGTAGCTATTCAAACAAGCTCTTTCGGGTCTCTCTCTTTCCCTCTGCCCCAAAGAAGGTATAAAAGCACATAAGCCGAGGGGCAGATGGTTAGGGTGTAGTAATTCTTATGATACAAGAAAACGGACCCTGGGCTTGTGAGAAACTGACAGAGCCAATATTGGAAAGGGACATTTTTAAACGCCTATATCTCATCAAGCTTATTACCTTTCGTTAGGGAAAAAGAAAAATATATGATCACTAACTTTTAAACTCCTGATATTGCCTCTCTAGTGAGGCTGATTGTTTCACTGTACTTCGGTTATTAGCTTGTTGTGTACACTAAAACAGAGGCTAGCTTTTAAAGGCGCGCTCGGATTGGTCACTTAAACTCCGAATATCCTTTGCTACTCACCTCCGAAGGCTCGCACGGGATTTGCGCCCGAGAAAACAGTAATCGTTGTAGGAATAAATGAGTTAGAATTACCTCTTTATGCTACATTATCGATATCTAACTGTTTTAGTATACCGTATACTAAAACAACTATCCAACTCAGCATTGTTGACTAGTGGCAAATATACACCACTAGTCGCCTCCACGTAGCGGGAGGAGTTGTTACTGAATACTCCGCATCGCCTTATATGGGAAATGACTCAACCAAGTGTTGCTAAGCTGAATTAACGCTTTATGGTCTAGAAAAAGTATAATGCTGTAACAAATGAAGGACCGGCCGGTTACCTTCATATTTCAGGATATCTTTTATTGAAATTTCTACCAGACCTTCATTTACAAAAGCTCACCTTTGAAGTCTGTTCGCCACCGTACTACAAAACCTTTTCAAATGTGCACAACACTTCAAGATTTGCTTCATGTTTAATAAGTTTAACGAAATATTTGTGTTAGTAAGTTTGTAACTTGCGGTCATAACTCGCTCATACTGAGCACTCTATTACTTACATTGCGAGGTTTTAGTTAAACAAACCACTTGAGCAAAGTGTGCACAACTTTTTCGCTTTCCGATGAAATGCTTGTATCTCGTAACCTGGAACGTTTCCTGGTTCAGAAATTTCTGTATTTCGTGTAAACATTCAGGTCCAGCGTTAGCTGGGTAACGCCGTATAAAATTTCATTCAGCGTCATTCGTAAAGCGAGGCACATTGTCATATGACTGAAGTTTAGCCGTTTGGGCGGTCGGAAGTAAAATTGACTTCCGGTCGGTTTGATTTGAAAAAATGGGGAGTGAAAACAAATTAAGTGAGCTCCCACGGCATTGAAGAAAACATTTAAACTTAATAAAAAAATTATTCAATTCGTGCTTGTTGGATATGAGGTTGGTTGATGTAGCTAATTGGGTGCTACGCGCCTCGTTACCATCTCCTGTCCGCGCAGTCATTAAATAACTGTCAGATAAACGACCTGGCAGTCCTAAGACTCTAGGTTGCATTATCCCCAAGTGCAGGATTCTTCAAGTGGAATTGGAAAGTCTTTCCTAAAAGACAACCGTGAAAATAATTAATTCACCTCTCGCGCGAATGTGCGAGGTGACACGCGAGATTGGAAGGGAGTTGACTGTGGTCCCAGTCTCCTGCCGAGATCTTAGTCATTGTGTAGTGGTCGCGTAAAGTTATACATGTGTGTCGGTAGCTGTTGGTGACTTTTTTAATTCTTCGTCACGGAAACCTGGTGAGTTTTGATTTTCTAGCCGTTTCAGCGACCCAATCATTTATTGGTCGTATGAGTTACTCTCAAGAGGCAATGATTTTAATTAAAAAAGCAGTTGTGATGATATATCAGAGATCGACTATATTCAAAATACCTGGTAAATAGAATGCCATCGATGCAGAGAATTCACCAGTTCTCTTGCCTAAATTAGTTTGTTGACGGCGACTTTTTCATTTTGCACCTCTTCAGTATTAAGAAATGTCAACAAACGTAGAGATAAAAGACGAAAGCTCCCTAAAAGGGGCGCTGCTGGATGTCAGGAGCGACTTTTCTTCAACAAACTGGTAGGAAGATATTTGTTAGACCTATCATTTACAGTACGCCAATCGTGCACTTTCTTGCCCAAATATAAACAATAATTTTAATTTTTAGCGTGTAGAGATCGTGGCTCGATTCTTGAATTTTTTTAGCTTGGTTGTGTATCATTTCTGGGTGCGACTGAAGCGAAACATTTGTGAAATTTCCGCCTGCTCTTTCCTTCAAATTTAAATGACGTGAAATAGATTTCGTTGTAAGAAGAGTTGCGTTAGTTACAATATGTGCGTGACATAGTAGTCTCTGCCTCAAATCTTGATCCCAATGCACATGTACTTTAACTGTTGCTTTTCTTCACTGTTATTACTTTGAAAACGACTTGCATACGGTTTGTGGTAGAGGGAAAAAACATTCAACCATCACACTGAAAATGAAATATAATTCATGAATTATGGGCACTAGTAACTTACATTTTAAGATTAAAGAGGCTACAAATGTAATTTCGAATGGATGAGAAGTCCTCGTGGATAATCAAACTGCACAATTGGAATTTGCATGTTTTGATACTGTTCTAAACAAATTGCTACAGGTACAGTGTAGTTCATGACTTTATTTATCTGGAAGAAGTCCTGTTTAGACTGATTTTAAACAATGAATGATGTTGAGATTTCTATACTGATCACTTCAATATTAATTACATCCTTGATACCGTACGAATAATGATTATTTAGATATAACTGTCAGCTGAATTGGTGATAATTTAAAACATCAGCTTAGCCCTTTTTTAGAGGACATTACCCAAGACTTTCTACTTATCCAATTAATTGTAATTTACAAACCATGGTCTTGCGCTTTTTTCTGTTGTTCTTCAATCTCTTGGTTTCCAATTATTATTGCCTTTGCTCCCCAAATAATTGACCACTAGCTGTAACTGTTAAAATCCTTCTTTTCTTGAAGGATGTTGGCTGGCCATTGGGAAGGCAATCCTAATATTATCCACTTCAAAGCAAGTGGCAGTGGAGGTGCAAGTGAAATGATTGGGAAACTAGAAGATGGTGAAGTCATGTATGGCCTCGGTAAGTAGTGAATTGTTTTTGTTGAACGCTTCAGTTACTTGTATCAGTTCATTAGAAACTTAAAAACTTCCAATGAATGAACAACACTTTACTCATTTTAAGCCCTTCAGACTGTGTTTTTGCCTCATGACATATTTGTGTACATACATGTGCAGCCTGTTACTTACTAATGGTACAATGGTTGTCTTAATTGAACTTTTATACTTCAAATTGTATCCAAAGTTTCTTTATAATGAGTCAGAGAAATTTTCAATTGACTATCAAAAACTTAAAACAAAGTAATCATATTGGTTATTTAGAGTGAAGAAAAATATCAGGAATAGCCAATGATAACTCGAAAGTGGAAAATGCAAATAATCAATTGGTATTTAGATTAAGCTGAATTTCTGTCTGATTGGTTCTGAGAATTCTAGGAGTTTTTTAGATCTATCCTGAGGCAGTTAAATGCTGATTACTTTCAAAATTTAGTTTAAAAAATTCTGGGATAATCTATTTTAGAAGCTATTTAATGCTACTACAGTATGTCTTATATTTTACATTTTTACTTCCCTACAGTGCGGTTAGAAGAGTTGGTTGATAGCTATGTGGAGAAAACTGTTAAATTTGTATACATTCACTGGATTGGAGAAAGTGTTCCATTCACCAAAAAGGGCAAGTTTGGTGTAGTGCATGGTAGTGTTGAGGTTCACTTTCAGGTACATGAACAGTTTTAGGGGATATAAAGATGATATAATTGCAGCTCTGTGTATGATTAGCTCTGTTGCCTTATCTTATTTTTCTTTAAGAGATATTTATTAGTATGAGAAGGTAAATTGGTATCCACACAGGAACATGTACATGGAGTACAAGTATTGTTCTATTTATTATAGTGTGAAGAAGATTGAATGATCATTCAGATTGGTTCTAGCTTTTGACAGACTATTTTTGTATGGCAGCTTTATTTAGAGTAAAGTAATTAGTTGTTTACATGTACATGAAACTCTGTAGTATGAACACTTTGCCTAAAAGCATTGGGCTTGTGAATTCTGCAGCCTTGTTGATGTATCATTTTGTATGTGGACCGTGCCTTCAACATCTTGCCAGGATTTTATCTTTCTAGCTATGAATAGCCCTTACAAATTAGTATGTGTGCCATAAACATCTAGCCAGGATTTTAGCTTTCTGACTTTGAAAAGTTCTTACAAATTAGTATGTGTGCCTTAAACATCTAGCCAGGATTTTAGCTTTCTGACTTTAAAAAGTTCTTACAAATGCAATGAAATTATCAGTAACAGTACATGTCTTTTCATTGTGTAGGCTGAGTCATGTTTGTAAAACTGGTGAAACATTTTGGGTTTATTGATACTGTATGTAGTAATCATATGACAGAAATGATTACATCTGCAAAAAAAAAATCTAAAATTCACAACAAATCTCTAACACCAATCTTACTAGTACTTAGGATCCCTTTCTCAAGTTTGCAAGTGGCACACATACATTACATGTGGCTGTGCTATGTTGACAAGTCAATACTCAAAGCTAGCACACTGTATATCACTGCACCCTCTTCCATGTGACCTCATCTTTTTGCAAGTTTACATATGACTGTATATAGAAATGCCAAATGTTGATCTGTGTCCATTTTTCTTTCCTCTCTTTTTCAACAGCCCAGTCATTGTGTCATAGAAACTGGACAGAGAGCAGACTTGAGTGAGGAAGAGATGATGAACGTTATTTCAGAGACCAGGTGCTGCATCTATTTCACAGTGTGTATGATTATTATAAATTGTCAATACTTAAGAATAACCATATTGTGCCTTTATACTCGGTCTTTTTATTCACTACATGTGCTAATGAGATGCAAAATATCATATTGTGAATTAACAATGCAGTGCCCAATTTCTATCATTTGGCCCTATGAGATTAATTTTAGTTTTTGGACACCAAATGGATAAGGCATAATGTTTGGAAGTTATTTAGTAAGATGAGATAGGAAAAGAGATTTTCAGTGATAAATGAACATCCTATCCAAAATGAGTGTAATACTGGCCCATTTTTTGTGTTGTGGGGCAAACATTTCAAACAGTGGCTATCCTCACCCAGCAGGAGTAATTAAATGCATACTGGAAAAGGGCTTGAAAAACGTGGCAAAATGCTGGAGATTATTATTAATTGAGATAGACCAGTATCCCACCCTAAGACCACCAAAGGGGAGTAGACATGCTTCAGAAACAGTAGTTATGCAGGTTTAGACCTTTTGAACCAAGACATGCATAAAAACACAACCTTGGTGTATGAACCATGCAACACCTCACCCACATACATGTATATTATCTTGAACTTTAGCTAACTATTATTACCAGCATGAACACATATAACTTCCTCTTGCAATACTATTTATTTATAAAATTTTCAAATAATATTCTTTAACTGATGGTTGCTATGATATTAAAGCTACACAGTTAGATGACACCAGATTCTATTAGCTTATTTCCAAATTTTAAATACAGCAGTCACAAGGGAAAACAACTCATCAGACCTTGACAATTAAAACTTGTTAATAATCCATATTTCATTAATAGTGGACGAACAAACAAAGTACTTGAAGCCTCAGCTGCTGCACAAAGACAAGTAAGTAAGATGGGTTTATTATAGAGTTCCATCTAATAAATGGAAATGGAACACTGCTGAACAAAACTGCTTGCTGTAAAAAAGTGTGGATGTGAGCTACCAATATTTCAGTTTCTCAGTTTCTATTGGAAAAGTAAATGCAGATATAATTATATTCTTGTAATCTTAAACAAATGTTCTACATTTTTTTGATATTCTGTAACCCACTTCATCTGTAAGTCAGCAGACATTTTTGAGAAATTTGCATATTGAAAAAATATCTGTTCATGAATATTGCCGCAAATAGTTGGCAGATAATGGGGGGAAGTGGAACATAGATACCGGTACTTGCTTTTCTGTTACTGATATATACAGATCTAATTTAAAGATGGCGTAGGAATGCCAGTTTGTTAAAGAGGTTACAGTGTAGCTGTTAAATTCATAATATTGGTAATTTAATGGCAAGTACATGTAACACCAACATCGTCCACCTCAGATTCAACGAGACACTAACACTTCCACTTATCACTTTCAAACGAGGTTGTACGTTAGAGTCACTTATGTAGTTTAACGCAGACCTTGCTTTTCTTTTTAAACAGGATCGAGGTTTTACCAGTAGTAGTAATGTAATCAAAACAGGAAAGGCTCAAAATAGCTTTCAGACACCTGGTGCAGGTAATTGTTTTTAAGTTGAGGCTATGCTATTGTGTCACTTAAATAACATGTACTTTCACTTTTCTAAGATACAACAGTGGAAGAAGTGAAAATGTCCTTTTATATTTTTATATTTCTCATTTGCCTGTGAAAACTCTGTACCCTCTCGTTTTTTCATTTATCTTCCCTCCTCTTTTTTTCTCCTTGTTTCTCCACTTTTCCTTTCCATTGTTTTTTTTTCTGTGCTTAACACTTGTGTTTTCTTTAAGTGGCTGTGAACATTGATGGATCTTTGACTGAAGCGATAGTTGATGTACGAAGCGATGATACAGCAGTTAACTGGTAAAGTGTTGAATATCATAAATTCTTTCTTTTTACGTCATTAGTCAGAAATGGCCGAATAAAACGTTCTATTTCATAACTGATGAAACTTTTGTCGAGAGTTCCACTCTGTTTGTAAAACTCTCAATTACAAGTATAATGGTAGCTACAAAATAGTTGATACAGTCTAGGAATTACATTACTAATTTCTAAACTAACTGTACCTTTGACCGGTTTTTCCGGGAGCTCAGTTTTTCCCGAAGCAGAGCATGTGGAAGAGTAGCTGTGGTTGACACTGACAAATCAAGTTTTTAGTTAAGACCAAAGGCACTTCCGCTTACCAGTATAAGCATTCTATAACTTAATTTTACCTACCAAGGTTTCAAAATCTATATCCCTTCTACTTGTTTTGGCAAGTACATTGAAGGGAGTGCATTGTTATCATGCCTTCACAGCACGTCGGAGGTCTCTTTTTTTTTAACTTAAGGCGAATTTCCGCTAGCTTTTTACAAGGTAACTCATTGCTTCATTGCCTACCCCAAGTCAAACATTTGGACTGGTGCTTCAAATGGTGATTAGAAGTTAAACTTGGGTCTAAAATTTTGTCTGCTTTTGAAGTCGTGTGTAAGCGAGCAACATTTGCGATAATGGCTGCCGTATATTTTTCTATGTTGTACAACTTTACATGTGGATCAATTGTTTTTATTAGGGCGTACGTTTTAAGGGGTTTTACCTTAGCGTGACACAAAACTGAAGGAAAACGTATCCAATTAAAACTGTCTGCAAAGCTACAAAAACTAAACAAAAAATTGTTGGCTCACCTTCGGTCAGCTTAATCGTGCTTTGATTAACTGGACAGTAAATGGCTTTTTCGTTTGATCTCTCTTCGCTATTTTATATGTCCCTTTTTCTGAACAGGTGTGTTGGTTCCTATGAAGAAAAAAATCCCAAGAAACCCATAGTTTTGAGTGGTAAAGGCACGGACGGGTTGGGAGGCATCCTTCCGTTGTTGGAAAGCGATGTTGTGGCCTATGCTCTGCTTAGAGTGGTGAGTAAAAGTTTAAACCGTTTACCATTGCTGGAAGTCCTTGACCGCCACAAGACGTAGTTTATGTATTAAATTGTCACTTGATGTACTCATCTCATATGTCTCGAGGCCTACTTTTCTGTCACCAGTAGGATATGACAATTTTTAGAAGAATTTGATCATCACCAACCTTTTTTCACCGTCTCTGGACGATTTGGCTCATCGCCTGATGATCTTGACCCTTTTGCTGATGTTTTACTGAGATTTCATTTGTCCTGCAGATGGATGTTGTTGACGAAATAAGCACCGTCAAATTTGTGTTTATTACGTGGGTTGGTGAAGGCGTCAAGCCAATGACTAAAGGAAAAATCAGTACACACAAATCTACTGTGGAGAAGGCATTCCATGTATCCTTTGTCACTAATGGTGCGTTTGCCTTCGCTACCGCACATTCAAATCGTAATCTTCCTTCTTAAACAAATTAAATGAAAGTAAACAAGAAGAAAAACAAAACAAAACAAAAAAGAAACCTAAACGTGTTTACATCCTTGACATCTCTCAAATCCGATCACAGGATGATTTGTTGTGAATGTAATGATATCATTGCCAAAAATATGTACATAAAGAACAACTGTAACCTTCTGAAATAATCATCATGTCATCTGAATTTTGGTGGCAGAGAGAATGTAAACAAATGATCTGAAACCATTGTTGAAAAAAAAACCTCTATTTCGTTCCTGATCCCTTTATACGAAAGGTAATTGTGCGTAACGAATAATTTTTTTTTTTGGCGTGATATCAGCCACAGTGCTTGCATATCATTTAAATTTCCTTGACTATATTCGTTTCAGCCTGCACACGTGACCATTTACGCAACAACATTAGAAGACTTGTCAGAAAAGGATATCATGTCCAAGGTTCAAAACGCAAGCGGCTCAAAGTCTCATGTTATGTAGTATTATTAATTATAGCGTCAATACCGAATTTCACGACTGTTGGTTCAGATAAGCAATTATTAACTTTGAGTGAATGAAATTAGAAAGATATAGTACAAGTACATCGTAGACTTGAACTCTTATTATGGTACAAGGGAGGGTGGGAGAGGAGGCTAGGGTTATGTGCTCTCTTTTTTGGGAGTTATGCTGAGTTTTAGTACTAAAAGAATGACTTACTTTAAATGGGCAGAGATACTAGCGTTTTTATTATTTCGGGATTTTACTCAAAATTGTAATTTTCCAAAATGTGTGAGCATGAGATTTCTGGGTTGTATCTACCTCCTTTTTAACCATGTGTTGCACTTTGAAACTATTGACATTTTCTTTACTATAGAAAATTAACATTAACAAATTTTCTGGGCGGTATTCTGGCATTTCCGAGACTTATGATTGCTACAACATTAACCAAGAGATCAGCTTAAAAACATATTTTATCATCTTATGTGTTGTTGTTGGTATCTATTGCTTAGAATGCTGAGTTTTCCCCTCCCCCATCCCCCCATTCCCCATTCTTTTTTCTTTTGTTGCCCCCCCCCCCCACTCCTCCTTCTTGTCCGTTTTAATGCAAAAACAAATTATGAGCTGAAGATGACACAGATGTGTGTTGATTGCCATCTAAAAATACATAAGGTAGTGATACAATAATGTAGTAAAATGGTAAAATACTTAATAGTTTGAGTTTATAGTGAACTGAGTGGGACACAAAAAATGAGCAGGTGCAAGAAGAGAATTGAACCAACCAGTAACATGGCAATAGTAAGAGTAACATGGCAATAGTCGTCCAAATCGATCTTGCCTTTTTAATATTATTCATTTTAACGGTTGTTTGTCGAATAAGAAATTCTTGTCGTAATTTTTCTAATGTGGAAATTACCGATGTGTGATGTTTAGGAGGATTATACGAATTAAATATTTAGGATCACTTCTTGCAGGTTTAAATTCTTTTTAATAAATATCAATTTCACTTTTGTTTCTATGAATTTTCCACGCTGATCCGTCAATCGGATGATAAGTCTTTGTTTTCCCAGCTAAAATTTTAAATTAACTGTTAAGGGTAATCTTCCTCAGAACAAGAGAGAACATGGCTTGACTCTTACGCGCGTAAATTTGAAGTCAATCGACCAATCATACTGGCCGACCCCACTGCCTTCCTGCCCCATTACCTCCGGGAGCGTACTCGTAGGCTTCACAGAGGGTGTCATCTGATACCCCGTCAACGTCTCAGACGTAGACGATGACGCGTATGGGTCGTGGCATTAAACGCGTAAACTTCTTTTTACGGCTCGTCCTCTCTTCCGCATGGAGAACGCTCTTTCAAGTAAATGAATTCCAAGAGTGGAGAGAGAACATTTTCAAAGTGAAGCTTTCCGCAAATGTTAACGTCGCAGGTTTTATATGATGGAATTTAGGGTTTCCAGCAACTGAGCCCGTAGTATTCATAGGACTTCTACGCCTGAGAAAGAGGTCAACCGAAGAGAAAACACCGTGGGAAAGGTTGCCAAAAGGCGACAGATTCGAAAGTGTACGCATGTTCAGATACCGATCTTGGCAAGGTTCCATTCTATGACGTAAAGTTTTGCGACAAAGAAAATTGGGATCTTTGGAGTAAGATTTATTGCATTTCCTTCGGTGGAATTTCCTAAGATTTGCTGGATTGTCATATTTGTCAAATGAAAACTTCGTGAGATCTAACCAAATTTAAGACAGGAAGAAAACACAAAATTGCATTTAGCGAGGAAACTACCTTTGTAATCCTATTTATTTGGCTTGTAAATGATCGGCGGGACAAATTTCACAAATTGTGAAAACTTTGAGAGATTTCACGAAAGCAAATTGAAGAAAATCAAAAGCAAAGCCAAATTACCACTGGCGAGCGCCTCCTTTCGTGGCACCTTAGCTTAACAACTTAACAACGGAAATCATTTGGTTAATATTTACTACAGGAAACGACTGTCCGAACCTTGCTCATCGCCTTTTGATGGCTTTTAGAGACCTTGGAAAGCCAAAACATAAAAATTTTCAAGAAAAACACAACTTTGGCGCGTGCGCCAACATTGAGCAAAAACGCTGCGGAGCCTTCTTTTCAAGGATTAACACGGATGAATGCGAACCCTCGATCGTTAGTGCAGAACTGCTCTTTGCTATGGATGTACAATCTTAGGTCTTAGGTTTCCCATCCTAAATACTGCTACACTATTTCCAATAGCTATCAGAATTAGTCGTAGTTTTCCGAAGGAATGACCACCGAAGTATACTCCATACGTGTTAAACCCTTACGTGTCGAAACTATTCCAAGTTCAGTAGGGATGCCACCAGTTCAATACCATACTGCATGTATTATCATTTTCAGCAGAAAGGGCTGAAATCCCACTGAAAAAAGGAACTTGATTTTCATGATATTCTCATTAAAAATCATTTTCGATATGCTTCCATCATGACAAATCAATTCGTCATTTCAGTTCCGCAACATTTTTCATGATCTAACGTCATTGTTCTTCCGTTAAAAATAAAAAGGAAAAAAGAGAAAGAATTGACTTGGAAATTTTCCATGATTATTATGGTGACATTTCATATTTCCTTAGGCTAGTCTAAACTTCAAATTAAGGAAGTTATTGATTGTACTAAGGCTCTTGGCAGTTACGCACGAGTAGTCTTGCTGTTGCTCAACACCTCGGTACTAAATAAAGGCAGAAGCGGAAGTCTTCGTAATTTCCATTTTTAAAGCTTTAAATTGCAGGAAGGGAATTTTTTCTACGAAGCTTAAGGATCATCTTGTAAAGCATATATTTTTCGCTTTAAATGTTTGATAGCGGAATCAATATAAATGAGAGATTAATACGGTTCAAGACCTCCACCCGATTTTCATATTTGTTCCGCAACATACTTATCATATTACACAGTCCAAAACATGCAGTAGAAAGAAATGAAAGTTTGGTTTTGAACAAATGGTTGACCAACGAAGAAGAGGAAGCTTCTAGTTTTGTTTTGCCAGCCCTGCCACATAGAAATCTACTGCTTAATGCCATTTTTATCGTATATTGCCATGGTATTGTATTTTGTATATTATTCATAACGAGTTACCGCAGAAACCTAACGAATTATCGAAAATTAACTCGATTAAAAAGCCGCTCAACAGTAAACTTATTCGCAAGACGATATGAATATATAAAATTAAAATACTTTTTGTTATCATCTTTAAAAGGAAAATAGGATAGAATCATGAGTGAACAAACTTACGTAACGTAACTGAAAACGGTTGAATATTCCGCGTAACGGTTTGTGGTTTTTGTTTATAAGACTTTCGCCCACGCCTACCCTCTACACGGTCCGCTGAGGATGCTCAGTGCAACATTGATAATGACCACGTGAGAAACTCGTTTAGAGGAAGTGTTATATGGAGCGGAAGCCAACAACACCCAACTCTCCTCTAATGAATATGTCAATTGGGAGACAGGTAGAAAGGAAAGGGAAAGTATCAAAAGTTCATCAAAAGTAAATAACAGATAGAACCAGTCAGATGAGCCTTGAAAATCGCTAAATGTAGAATGCACTGATCCAGCTTTTAGCTATTTTGTTAAGATCGAAAGTATCTCTTTCAGACTGATATCACCTGATCAAAACTTATTTTTGCTGTTTGGTTTGATTTCCGTATATAACTGCTTTGTTTCACGAGATGACGTCAGTGAAGGAGTTGAAACACTTGAAGGTCTTACGCAGATTCCATAACTTTCATTAACTAGGCAAAACTTGCGCCAACAGGTGCAAACGGGAAAATATAAAAAAATTTTCCTTTAGAAACGTGATGCGCATAAATTCTTTATGAGGCTGCAATAAAGAGATTTTAAAATAGACAAGGAAGCAACATGGTTTCCATTCAATTCGATACACTAAATTGCCTCGAGACTCTAGCGCCAATTATTCAATCCGCATTCTCCCAGAATGGAGGAAGAAGGATTCTCCTACCGGCTTTAAACAATTCTTTTTCGTTAAACGAAACTCCTAAAATGGACGAGCGGTGTAATTCCCTAAAATATATTTTTAGTCACGGGAGCCATGTCCACTTTTGTGTCAGCTATAAAAGTTGGTGCGGACGATTCCAAAACTTCAGAACTTTAAAGTGAGCACATAACAGTGAGTGCCTTGGAGAACGCTTGGAACGATTTCATATTCATTAATCGCTATGATGATTTGCTTGAAGTCAAAGGTAAGTAGCCATTTTCTGGTTGGGGGCATCGTGACTCATCGACGATTCATTTCTGAATTTTTTTCTTCATCTCCAACTCAAAAAAGACAAAAAAAGGCAAAAAGAAATCTCCCCTTCATTTCTCCCCCTCTCATTCGTTGATCTATTGAAAATTGTTCAGTGTCACTACTCTAACAGTCGGTTCTAGTCTCTTAAACTGCTCTGCATTTAGTACTTGACCCTTAGTTCCCGAAGTGAACACCGTAGTTTTCAATTGAGCGTTGAAAGATACTCAATTGGTCTAAACAACTTGCACCACCAAGTCCTAGGAGGAGGAAACTTGAGGGAGATTAGTTCCCTCGATTTAGATCTCTCAACCGAAAAAGGAAACCAACACTTACTTGAGTTTCTTGTACATACGAGGAGGCAATTAAATTCAAATTGTATGCCTCAGGGCCAACTTTCCCGGCTGATTCCTGTAATGTAAACATACCTAAACATCAGAACAAGTAATCAAGTCTAGGCTTTTTATTCGCCTTCCAGGACGTCGTCTATACAACCACGGCTATTCTGTTAGTGCTTTTCGCTGTTTATGAATTTGCTGAAAGCAAACCAACATTTCCAGCCAAGGAAATTGAGGATTTAGATCTCTTAGCCGGGGACATGGCAACGGCAATGGCAAGTGATTCTGCAGAGTACAGTGGGGACGAAAATGTACCGCTTTACGAGAAGAAGCGAGTCGGACTAGACACTGAGAGGAACAAACCGACTATTCCTGCTGATGACGACATCATGACCTTGATATCTTCTCTTCCAGAAGATAAAGCGGAGGATGGCGCACTTGTAGGCGTGGGAAAAAGAACCAGACGAGATACAGCGAAAAACAGCTGTGTACAAGAAATCATATACAAGATAATCGACAATAAAGCTGTAAAAACGGTGGTTTGCGTGGACGGCTGCGATGAGATCAGAGGGATTTACTATCCTCAGCACAGAGACGAGCCCCAGATACTTACAGTAGATTGCAAAAAGAAGGAAAAAGATACTGTAAATAAGGTTTTTAGCCAGTAGCTGTAATTAGAAATGATGAAATCATTGCCAGAGTGGAAATTCGTTTATTTAATAAATTTTATTAGTAGTTCAACCTTGAACAAAACGATGTAAGCCAGCTATGTTGGAAACTATTTATTTATAAAGTTATTTTGATGTATGTGTGATCTGTTAATAAAGTCTTAACAACTTATTAAATTCTCTTACCAATTTTAAACGAGTTGTATAGAGCAACAGACAAAAGCGTTATTCAAGATCAGAAAGAAGAGGCCAAACGTAACTCATGTTGGTGATTGTTCAATTATCCAATGGAATATTTTCTGTTTATATAGAAAAAAAAGTTGCACTCCCGTTTTAAAAAGTTGGGACATTATTTCAGATCAACATCAACGCCTTTGATAAGTGTTTACTACGCATTTGTATATCCTTACCTAACACACAGCTACATATTGTGGGGTAGTAGTTGCGAAACTCCATTGTCTCAGTCGGTAAAGCTACAAACCAAAGCTGTAAGAATCATCAACAATGTCTCCCCATTATGTAAAAAAACCGGCCAAATTAAGCTTCTTGATATTAATAAGTTAAGTACGTGTCAACTATTTTACGATCATATTGTAGATAAAAAATCATCTAATTTAGCACTGTCTTTTGTATCAGAGAACCATGATTATGCTACTAAAAGTACGTCTTAGTAGCGCTAGAACCCCAGACCCTTCAAGATAAATAAAAGGAGATTCTGTCCAATAGTTATTGGATGCTACTATTGGATTGATATTCCTATATCAATGCGGAGGAAGCCCACTAGAAAACTTTTTAAAAGAGCGATATTTTTATGTGATACTTTTCTCAGTATTAATCAATGTCTTCCTTTGACAATGTCAATTTATGTATTTATTGTTTCTTATACCCTCTATTATATTTGTATTGCTTTTATTTCACTATATGATATAATGTGATTTAACGTAATGGGCATCCAATTAGCTCGCTATATTATGCCCCTCCCCATTGTTTTTTGTTTGTAATTATTCAAAATGTTTTAGTTGTTAAAATGGAGGAAATTAAAAAAAAAAAATCCAAAAAAAAACCCCTTTGATGTTCTTTCGCCCCTCTCCTCCTTCCAATATTCTTTGTTGCCAATGTGTCTGAGCCAACTTGCAGCCGACAATTAAACAACGAGAGTATGGGAGGCGGTTAGCTAATGTACCAACAAACGTGTCTGGAGCACAGCTGTTTTATGAATATATGTTTTGTGCTACTGCTTGTCAGATTATGAATTGTTAGCTAATAAGACAATATGATGTTAGGTGACCATTGCTGACAAGTCATTTCGTTTAACTGGGTTGTCTTGTTTTATCCTGTACTTTCCAACACTCCAAACATGAGCCCCTGAAATATGAAATACGACTTGAATACAATGAAGATACGGAAAATTTTATCACACATGGTTGCATGAAATGAATCGTTGTAAAAGGCTACATGTGATATTAAAACTACAAAATAAAGTTAAGATCTCTTGTAAAATTGGTCAAATAAAAGCAGGCACTGCAGCTCAATTAGAACGTCTCCCAGCCGCCAGTAATGTTGACACGCCCAGAGGACAAGGAAAAAGTATTGCTGGCCTGCAAAGAAAAGGCGAAACTCGAGTTTAGGAAGAAATGAATCAAATAAAAAAAGTGCACCCCAACAACCTTGGCAACCAGATTTTGAAAAACCGCTTACACTGTAGATGCTAAGACAGGGGAGTTATCTCAATAAAAAGCCACAATTAAAGCAAAAAAAGTTGGAAATTTTTGTGAATGGACGGTGGAGGACCCACTGTTAAGTTACCTTATTGAAAAATATAGAATAAATCCCACCAGTTCACCTCACGTGAAGTTAGTCGTATTCCGCAAAAACCTCTATGGTTTCTTAAGATTGCTGCCCCCGTACTTCAAATATGAGAAATTCGCCCTGAAAATACTCTCTAAAGCAACCATGCGCGCTGAAATTTGCAGCATATGTCAAGTTAAACAATGCAATAATACACTGAATAATTAATTACGTGACATATGTTGTCGCGAATTCTGCCTACTATGAATGTCTGTATGAATTAGAGGGAAAGCAAACTTCCATTTTCCTTAGCTCTTCTCTTAAATGAAAATAACAAGTATTGTCTAATTGCGCTTTTGAAACTAAAAAGCGTCTAAGGGCGGCGTCCTTAGCAGTTGCAATTAATCTTCGCGAGTTTCAAGAGTTTGAGCCTTTTTTTTCCTTTCCTGGAAATATGCGAGGTTATGCTCTGTAAAAGACAATAAATTGATGAGAAAACGAAACCAAACATATGTGGAAAGCGCCCTACCAGCGAAAGTACCACAAGATCCGTTTACCTCAAAGGTATGGTCAATGACCATTTGGTCATTGATATGGTCATTTGAGTCCACTCTGCTACAAACTCAAATGAGTTCCACGAGAGGTACTGAGAACCACTCATAATTAAATTGACGGGCAAATCAAATAGACACAAGCTGCACAAATAGTACTAAATATCTCATCTTCTCCCTAGAATTAAGATTTTAACCCCTTGAATATGCTGTAATGCTCTGAAGAGATCAGAATTAGTTTAAGAGATGATATTTCTGGGAAAGCAGTAGATGAAAATATAGCGATGAGAGAAATGAAGAAACAAGTGAAGAAACAAAAACAATATGGTCGAAGGAGAAGCATTCCAAACTGAAGTCCCACTGCTGAGCCATCGGAAACTAATGGACGGCTAAAGACTCTCGCGGATAGTAGTTTGCAGGTATAATGATAAGAAAATCAGGTAAATTTTACTTTGATGATACTCCTTCCGAGGCAAAATTAATTACATGAGTGTTGTCGATTCCTTCTGAGGAAGGGGAAACTCTTGAAACGTGAGCTTTAGAATCTCTTTTGAACGGTGCGTTTAGCTCATGCGATCAAAACTGGTTTGCGATCGATAAAGCCGGTCAACTTGTTTTGACGAATCTGCAAGCGGTCGCAGGATACTTCATGGTGTCCAGTGTCCCTGGGTAATTCTAGCGCCTCATAGCGCATGCGTCGATTAAAACTGGAATTCTTAATAAATTACACACTTTGTCCGTGTTGAAGTCGTAATGAGTTCACTCCTCCAACGCGGCAACTGCAGTTTCCACAGTACCCTCTTTAAGCATATCAGAGGTATCGACATGGTCACTTTTTGATTCAGTTGACTCTCGTAAACAACAAAAAATACAGGAATGCTTGTCTAAACAAATACCCTTTAAGTCACTTAATCAGGTCGCTTGACATCTGGTTTTCACGACATGACTTCATGCTTGATTATAAAGGAAATTCAAACATCAAGTTTTTTTCTGATTTTTCTCCTTGAAACTCAGAAGGTAGAAGACAGTTTCATAATCAACTGTTTCAATTATCTACCATTGCAGAAAAAGAGGTTCTTTTCTAAAAACTTAGATTAGCTTACCTCCCACCAATCAAAGTTTGAAAATTTTGACTTCCTTAGGGAGAGTCAAAGCTTAATTTGATAAAACCCGATGTCTTTCTCTCGCACAAATAATATGCATGGTAACATTTTCTGGTCTCAATTGTTTTCCTCACCTTTATCTTCCTTAAGAGTAACAACAGTATAAATGGTAATTGAAAACCTACAAACCTTTTTGAAATCTGGAGAAAGGTCTTAAATTATTGTTTTTACCGTATAAAAATTGACTCTTGATAATGAAGTTGTTACACACTTATTTAACTAAATGGAGATTGCGGTTGAAAGAGAAGTGGTGGGGAGATAGAGAGAGATGAGAGAGGAGGGGGAGGGGGTAGGCTGATGGAGGCAGTCATGGTTGCAAGTACAGGAAGCAAGAATCATATCATACTGAAATGAGAGTATCCTATTTGCTAGAGGCGATAGATCAAGGAAGGCCTGTTATTTTAATGTGTCTCATGTAGTTTATTACAATCCAAGGGGCTGTAAACGATTTTTATGGTTAGATACTTAAACTTCTTTAATTATTCTTGTCAGTTGGCTAGATAATTAGTATATCTATCTATCTATCTATCTATCTAACCCCATCGCTCATCCTGGGGCATAGGCCGTCAACAACGGTCTGTCAGAGATCTCTATTCTGGGCCATCCTTTCTAATTGGCTCCATGAGTGGCCGTTCTTTCTGGTGTCAACCTCGTGGTTACGACGCCAAGTGTTCCTTGGTCATCCTCTCTTTCTCTTACCCTGGGGATTCCAGCAGAGGGCCTGTCTTGTGACCCTTGATGTTGGTTTGCAAAGGGTGCGCCCCATCCATCCCCATCCTCGTCTTCTGATTTCATCTTCTGGTGGTATTTGGTTGGTCTCCCTCCAGAGGTCTGTATTGCTGATGGCGACTGACCAACGGATCCGCTGGCCAGAATCAATTTATACAGATACATTATTCACAGTATGAAAGGTCTCGAGGATTACAATCTTCAAAAAATTACCCTTAGAAAAATCAAGTCTGTTCGAATTCACGATCAAAGATAAGAGAAAAAATTACCAGTCACTAAAGTAGGAAAGAAAGCTTGCAGAACTCGAAATCGGTCACTCCGCCATTTTCCTAGTAAAAAGTACCGCATGGAATTTTGGGAAGCAAATTGTCACCAACCCTGGGGGAGGGTAAGGAATAGGAAAGAGTCAAACCATTGTTGAAAAATTGATAGCAGGCTCTTTGAAGAATCTACTATGTACATGATAACAGCCTGTAGCTCAAAGCAAGCACACGGAATCGTAGGGAAACCGAGCTGTCCAAAATCAGACGGAATCGTACAAAATCTAACAACCGTCAGAAATCGCTCGGAATCGTTAGAAAACAGACAGAAAGGTCCTAAATCAAGTGAAATCGTCTAAAATCAGACGAAGCAGTTTGAAAATGTAGGTACACATACTACTCGGATATAACTTTTCAAAATTAAAGGGAAACATCCTTAATCGACGAATAACATTGGAAACTGACAAGCTTTGTTTAGTCGGGAATCAACCGTCGAAATGACGCCTTCATCCTATGTGGT